TAATGATAGCGTGACTAGCTGAGCTTAGCAGGAATCGATGACTATAGGGGCACACGAAGGCTGTAGGATACGCGATTGGGCTTAGGGACATTTTTCGGGTCCGCGCGTGTTGCTCGCCGCCCGGTACTTCACACCTAGGAATACTTCTAAAGTCTATTACTAACAACAGTACACTGTTAACAATAGGGAGGTACTAGTAAGTTAAGTACTACATCAGCTAGTAGTAAGTACCTACGTACAAGTTCGCAGCACTACTAGTAACTATAGTATAGTTACTACTAGACGGCAGGAGCTAATGGTAATGAGTAAATAGTAAATACTAATTACAGTACTACTACATCATACCTCAACTACTGTACTAGTACACTAACCCAGCCACCAGGCTGTTGTGACTAACGTCAATACAACACAACATACCACCGCCTTGACATCCATCGCCATTGGCGCGAAAATTTGTAGCTGTAGGCAAAAACTAAACCGAAGCAATTACTATATCTCAAATAAACATGATGCATGTAAAGCATTTCTGCCTTGCTATTTGTATCAAGATAATAGACCTTCCAACCTTATAGTATACTCAGCTTGTTATTAAAACTAATACCTCTCAAGTCTTGCTGTGCACAGTGTAAATTTCAAGAGCCAAAACATAAATATTCAACTAACACGCCAACCGCATGTTTTGCAAGCCGCATCCGATTTCGAACGGCGCACGCAGAAAACCCGAAACACCGACATAACATACCATACGCGTTTGCTAACTGCGTTGGTGCGAGCATAAAAAAGGCATCATATACGTGCGTATGATATATAAATAAGTTAACAACATTGAAAACCAGGAATCGTCATCTACAACAACTTAATAATATCATTGCGTCAAGATATGTTATCATACTTGCCTTGTATTTGAGCCATACGCACGTGTGCAAATCGAGGTTCCATTCGCCTGATTTGAGTTGCACTGAATCACTGCACGAGACATAGGCGGCTGTCTGGTTGTTTTGATCCAATTCATAATCTCAGAAAATAAACGGCATAACTCAATAAATAAGTAGCGGCAAGTAGCGCCCAGTTACCCCCACCCCCAGGGCGAGGCACACGCCAGAAGGTTTATATTCGTTCTTGGAGCTTTACCATGTGAGCGCTAGCATGTGTCGATGGCTTGGATACCCGCGCCAACGACAAGGAATGTGGGCAAGAATCTAGAAACGGTATTCCTACAACGCCTAGCAATACCGTTCCCTGGAGCTAAGTACTACTAGTACTAGCACTAACTTACTACAGCTCCAAGAAACGCCGTTTTGCTAGGGTTAGAATAACGCCCTATACCTCAGACACAGGCTTGAAGGCGTTTCAATAAAATATAATGCCTAACTAAATACGAAAATCTTTTACTTACCAAGATTCTTATGTTTACTAGTAAGGCAGGGCTGAACCTAACGCTCCACAGAGCACGAACGCCCGCTACCGCAAAAGACCCGAGGCTAGTAGAAAATCAGTAAGGGCTAGTAGAAATGTACCGGGCTGACCAGCCCTGGTTGGCAGTGAGACAATCGCCTACCAGATAATATATGAAACTAGTCTTTTCAGCACTACTAAGCGCTCACGGGGTCGTTGTCGTAAAACAGGTACTACAGACGCTATGTACCCCGAGGTACCTATATGTTACACACAAGTGTAACCAGACGCTGATATACTACGAGGAAGGCACGCCTAGCCCCTACCACTAACCCTAGACCCCTAACCCTAAACCCTAAATCCTAACTCTATACTAACCCTAACGAACCCTAACCCTAAACATACCTCATATAAAAAATAAACATAATCCTAAAACAGCACTAACAAACTGACTCGGTAGCATATCTGTAGTACCTGTTAGCGACCAAGACACCTCGCTGCACACTAACCACGACCAAACTAGTAATAAAGCAATATAAAATTTGCGTGGCCAACCATAATAAAAGTGGCAAAAACCTAAAACTTAACCAGTGACACGATACCGCTCAGACAATAAAATGGTTTCCCAACCACCATCGCTGCTCTATTCACAGAAGCCATGCCAATCCCCTCACCGTGTATATATATACGCAACACGCGGAAATACCTGTCTGAGTTCTACTATAATATTCTACTATATATATATACTCGAATCTCATGGCTGCAAATCTGAAATTTCTACAGAAGTGAGGAATGTCGGGCAGCGATTGTATCCAGAGCGTCTAAAATCAAACACCCAGATTCCCCCCCCCCCCCCACTCGCCAAATGCAAAAATTGTGCTGCAGCTGCCAGCCACGCCTGGCCTGCGTAGCCATTCAGACCGCGACCCTTCAAGAAAAGTACAGGGCTGGGCAGATATTTTTAACCAGGGCTAGTAGAACTTTTAACAGGTATCACTAGCCCCTAGGGCTAGTGGAACCATTTTAGGATAAGCTTCAAGCTCCTCGATAAACTACTACTCTTCGAGAAGGTCGCGAAGGTGGGAAATGCTATATAGGACTAGGACTCGCTGCCCACCGTCGAGTAGCCATCCGAGTGACTAAGCTAGCCGAGAGGCTGGGAGCGAGTCGCCAGTCTCATGGCTATACGGCGGCGCGGCAGCCCCGCGGCGCTACTGCTTTGCAACTCCTGTACGACCTCAGCGCCAATTGCAACGTTGCAAAAACGTCAGCGTTGGGGCGAGCAAGAAACAATGAGGCCACGAGAGCCGCCGAGGTAGTTGTTTCCTGAATTGCTGACAGCCCATTTCCATTAACTGGCAAGGCGTTCGGCGAATGTCCATTTTCCAGTCCTTTCTGTGACTTCCGGCGGCACACAGCACGGTTACAGCACAGACATTACTCAGTTAGAGTTTTTATACGAAGTTGCAACACTGTTCACCCGTCCACAATGTCTGCGCCCTCCTGTGTCCCCCACTCAAAATTGCGGACCTGTTCGCTGCAGCCTATGGATTAATCGTGCCGGCCTATGCATTCGCGCACGGATGCCATAGCTGCCAAGCGGCTCGCATACTAGTCGTAGGAATTTCCAGGGCAGGCCGTCGCCGCACGTGCGCCTTGACCCGGCGGCAACTGCTGCGCGCAAGATCGCCAGGAATACCAGCTTCGGATAAACAGCTCCTTTCGGCATACGAGGCTTCTCTAGTACCCTGCACCGTCCATGCTGGATTCACACTTTCACAGCACGAATATCCAAATCCAACAGCTTCCATCTTTGTTGCTCGCTTCACAAACGAACAGTGCATTCACAGCTTGACTTGTTATAAAAACAATAATGCTTTGTTCGTAACGAGCTGTGTCACCGCGACAATCACACAAGACACTGGACGAAATTCTCCCAGCTTCGCGAACGAGATGCGGCACACACTGTAAATGTACTGCAAGTACATCGGGTATAGGCGGCTGCATTGCTATTTGGGAAGTCCACCCACTCCGAACGCTGCTTTCAACCCTCCGTACCGCCCGAGCCTCGGCATTGGAGCATTGCACAAAAACGTTGGCACCGTCGGTTTGCGGCGGCGCACGGCAATAGTTACGAAATAGCCGGCGCTAGGTGTTTCCGTGATTCCGCGGCGACCATTTACATTGACCCACACAGCGCACACGTTAGCGACGCTCGAGAATATTCGCCACAGTGTTATTTGAGTGATTTCGCGTGACAGAGCATCGTTATGAAGCAGCAGATCAGTACTATATTGTTCTAACAAAGGTGAAACACTGCTGCTTGAAATTGAAACATACAGATGGAAGTAGGAATCGTTGTGTCTTTGATCTTGTAATTGTGGAAATGTCCTCGAGCGTCGCAGAGCGCTATTGGATGTCGAGACGGCGTTTGCCTAGCCTGCTTATACTATCTTAACAGTCAGCGTGTGCACCAGTCGAGCGCAAGTGAGCTGGGCGTTAAGTGTGGTGCACTAACCGCATTTACAAGACGGAAGTTGACAGGAAAACTGTCGCCAATAATAAGGTGAGTAGTATAAGAAACATTAAGCAATTCTTCGTAGTACTAGTAGTTAGATTTCGTGATTTTATTTAGCCATTATAACTTTTATTGAAACTGTTTCAAGTGCCTGTGCTGAGAGCTATCGAAGCGTTGTCTAAATAAAAATAATGCTAACTATAAGTACGAACTCTAGATTTACACTACCCCAATGTCTCAATGATTTCATAAACTCCTCTTTCACGCTATTATTGCCGGACAGTTTTTTCTGTAAATTCCGTCCAAAAATCGCATACGAATCCACCAATAGACTGCCCGCACCACACGGCACAGGCACTTGAAGCGTTTCAATAAAATATAATGCTAAACTAAATACGATACTATAAATATTATCTTAATGTTTCTATACTGCTCTTTCACCGTATTATTGCCCGACAGTTTCCCTGTAAATATCGCGTATCCCAAAGTTCCTCACCGTGCAACACGGCATACCAAACAAAATCCCTG